TATATAACTTACTATACAATGGACTATAATTGTATATTGTCCAATCAAAACGAGGTATAGGTAGGAAGTGACGCTATTTTGAGTTAATAGTCCCTGCACTTTTTATAACCCCAAAAAACCTCCCTAAAAGCGGTTTTTATGTTTTCTTTGTWGAAAAGACTGACTAGCCTATTTTTGCTATGAAATGAAAAAGTGCAAGAACTGCAACTCCCATCATGCTTTGTTCCAAAAAAATTGCATCGCTGCACTGCCTATGCATGTAGTTTAATTAATCACATTAAATCAAAAGAAGAATAATGCAATTGAGTAAATGATAACAAACTAACCATATTGTTGATATCTTCTATCTGGGTTGATGTTGTTGGACTGTTGATTCAACGGTCTTGCGTCATTATGGAATGTTTTGGCACCTGCCAACTGTTGTCTGTCTATAGTCTTAGTTGTTTGAGGGGCTGGCTGGAGAGGCATGCGAAACTCACTGATACAAAACAAAAACGTTTTTCTATTTTAAGTCTTATCATTTTATAAATGGAGTTTTATACTAAAAGGAAATATTCCAATAGTTACATAATGTTTTTCAGGTGCCTTCTATTGATTTTTTGTCATGTTTCTAAAACTCAGTTAAATGACAACTTTTTGCATACATAATCAACAATCAAATCACTTGAAATGGGATTGCATAGCAAGAGCAGAAAATTCACATTGATAATTATTCACCTCTTGTTGACTTGTTGGTTGAGGTTCTCCTTGTTTTCTTTTTCACCTGATAACACATCTTCATCACAAGACAGCAAGGCCTCGTCAAAGCCAAAAGATTGATTCCACAGCACTGAATCATCTAAAAGAATAAATAATACTGTCTCCAGGCATTTTTTTAGTAATATATAAAATATGAGCGGGAGACCTTTACAGGCATATAAAACTGCGACTGCAAGCTCATGTTGAACTTTACAGGAAAATTTTATAATCTCATTAAAAAAGGCCTGTCAGTCAAAATCCAATTTGGCAGGTTAAACATCAAATTTGGACATTTATTCAATCAGCAGTAATCTCAAGCCCAAGCCATGCAAGGGTAATTTTATCGATCACTTTTAAAAATACATGTAAAGGCCGATTTAGAGGGCACAACTTTTGCTTACAACCATCGCATGCAACCTGTGTAAGTCATCCTTACAACATGGCTACAACTGTTGTAGGGATTTTAAACAATTGCTTAATAACCCTACGACAGTTGTAGCCATGTTGTAAGGATGACTTACACAGGTTGCATGCGATGGTTGTAGACAAAAGTTGTGCCCTCTAAATCGGCCTGAAGTTAAAGTACATGTAGATTAGTGCACGGGAGCACAATAGTTCCTTACCCTCTGGAATGACACTATTTGTTTGAACAGCATTCAATGAAGGTGTAACATTTCCTCCCTCAGCAGCTTGATTAATTGCTGTCATGTGATTTGAACCATTAGTAAGACCTGGTGTTGTGTTACTTGTACCCGGTGTTGTGTGACATTTACTATTAATATGTTGTAGGGGTGTTGTGTGACTTGTACTGGGTGTT